ACAAGGTGTATGTCTTCATTAAAAAATAGCTCTCACAGTGACTATCCAAATGCATGCTTCATCCAAAATTATACTTTTCACTTATATTGAGATGTAAACTCTGTTAATTTGAGCTTAATGTTAGGTTTCAAAAATATGAATCCACGTGTTTAAGAAGATAAAAATAATACCCTAGTCAAAGTAACACCTACCTGGTAAATCCTTGGCTTAATGCTTCTTTACATAACTTAAAGAAAAAAAAATATTATTGAACATGAAGCATTTTAAGTTCTAGAAATAAATTGAGCAACTGATGGAGCTAGGATGGCTCTATAGGTAAGACTCCCATAGTAAGAAATATTAATCAGAGGGACACATATGGAAAAGGCATTAAGAAGTAGGCTTTTGCCTCTCTCCTGGTAATATTTCCACTGTTGTGCATTTTATCGTCCAACCTGGACAAGACACCAAGGACAGAAAACTCCATTTCATTTCACGCATTTGATATCAAATCTTTAACATTAACAAACAGCCAACATGTCTTCCAAGTTCTTCTTTCATATAACTCAATAAAATCATAACCTAAACACCCTTCAGATTTTGTTCAAGTTTTGTTTCTATATTCGTTCCTACTTTAACATAAATTTAATATATGTTGTCCAAGATAACCTATTTTTCTACTTACCCTTCTTAATTTAACATCATCATAACCTAACCAACCTACAGATGTTGTATATGATGGATAACCTATTTCTTTGATGTGCTTTTCTGGAAGTAGAGAGAAAAGAGAGATGATCAATACATTGTAGATCTTGGATGAATTTCCATGATGTCAAATCTTGCTTTTTGCACTACCTTATTTTTTGTTTACTAACCTCTGTCTTTTTTACCAGACTGCTGTTTCTTCAGAATAGACAAAGCTTCTTCCTTGGTTAAAGCATCTGAACTAAATAGAAGATTATTTTTACTACAAATGTATCTACAGCTTATTCAAAAGCCATGGCAGACTGATATATAATAATCATATTTTCTGTTGGTAAAAGAGACTGTAAGAACAGGCTAATCATAAGGTTTTGATTTCAAATGTAATTCTTTTACATCAGCTGTAATTTGGTTTTCTATCAAATTGTTAAAAAAAACTTACATATATCTAAAATCTATAGTAGATACTAACTTCTCTGGTTCCTGAAATATAAAATTCAACATCAATATTAAATACACACATAGTTAGAACTAGAACCGATCTAAAAAAATTAAATGCAATTTATATTTACAGTGTACAATTGTATGTATGTCTGTCTTAGTTTCAAGTGGAATCAACTTACCATATCAGCAAGGAGCTTCCATAAAGGCTGGAAAAGAAAGGGTCTAAATTTGACACATTACAAGTATATATTATACAAATGTAGATAGTCTTTTATTCCACCAAAAGCTTGTAATAGAATTAGTATGCGTCATGTCTTATCTATAATGATTCAAAATCTCCTATTTAATTGTTTAAATCGCCAAACCAAAACCTTTGAATATGTATATTTAAAGAAGGAGTATAAAATAGGTTACTTTTCAACAGAAGGCAATGATAGAGTGAAGATCAGACTATTTTTATTAAAGTTATAAGCACATGAAGTCCATAAAACAATGATTACTCCCTCTATTGATATTAATGGTAAAATAAAATTCTAGAAGATAAATACCTTTCTCTCAACTTTGGCCCATAAATCCCATAACGCATTTATAATGGCTGCTACCGCTAGATGCATAACACCTTTTTCTGGTCCAAGCTAAATAAATAAATCATGATTAGTAAATGAACTGCAGATAACATTAAAGTAAAGTCAAGAATAATCTGCATTAGTAAATAATGATTATTAGTTTCCTCAATTTATATTTCAAGCTTTTGTCTCCCTTAGACTAATAAGGTGATGATAATAACTATGATAGCTTCTATAACTCTGTTAGAAGACAGTTGATTTATTGTCTGCCAATGATGGGTTCAAATTTCCAACAAAACAAACTTTTTCTTTACTTTAATTTGACCCACACCTTAACCTAACCTGAAAATTATTCCAAATTCAAGACTCTTAGCCTTACCCATCTCATTTGATCTTCACTTGTCAACGATCTCCAGAAAGTACCAAAATCATTATATATCGTTGATAACTCAACCCCTACTACCATTTTACTCAATACTTTAATAGCATGACAAACTAAAACAATATATAACATAAATACATTTAATAAAAATAAATACATGTCTGCTAGTAAAAAACAACAATTTCTTGACTACTGATTATCTTTGCAAGAAGATATTGTTATGGCATTGTCACTTATTCTTCCAACATGTTAAGTTTTAACTTAAAAGTATCCTGTTTTTAGAATTTTAGAATGATACTAATTAAAAGGTTGATGTTAACATTTTATTTAATGTGGCATTTTTTGGTTTGTGATGGAAAACGACCGTATTGAATTTTTTGAAACATCAGCACCAAACTGTAGAGAAATATGTATTAATTTTATTCTGAAGGCTTTAACTAAAGATATTGAGCTCAACTGCCTTATCAACAATTAGTATGCTCTCTTTTGATCAAGTGTATACATTGAAGTTAAAAGCATATATTAGAAATCTGTATAATTTACAATTTATCATATAATAAAAATATTGCATACTGCCCCTTAAATTCTTTGAAAATGTAATAAAGACAACTTTGATATGGAAACATTTAAATTGTCCATATATCATGATAATTTCAAGTAAAGAAAACATTACCCATCCTTGTCACTGTGGTCTAATCATCATTTTCAATTGAAATTAAAAATTGGGAATACATCACTACAACTAAAAACAATTCATTTGAATTCCCATTTTTTTTTGTGTAAGTGTGTTAATGGCTTTTTACTTCTTTGAGCATCAGACTTACCAATTTCATTGCCTTTACCAACAGTAAAAGTTATTCCATGTCCCTCAAGTTGACTATCAGTTTTGAGAATAACATAGGGTGAGGAATAGTCAGGAGCTTTATTCTATAAAAGAAAAATTATTTTATTGTTTAAACTTATTTACAATATAAATTAAGAATTGTATGAAAAAGTCAAAAATAACCTCATATTTCTAATTGGTTTGTGTCTTGTTGTTTTTTAAGTAATGTTAGAAAAAGGCCCAATTTGACATGCACTTTTACTTTCCTATTATACCTGTTATAACTGAACAAAATTCTAATTGAACTTCTGGAGAATGTTTTGCATAGGAATGGATTAATCATTCAAATATCACAGACAATATAGCACTCTGATAACCTATAGCACCATGTGGAACATAAGAAGGATTTCTGACAATCTATAGTATTATGTGGAACATAAGGATTTGTGACAATCTATATCACCAAGTGGAACATAGGAAGGATTTCTGATAATCTATAGCACCATATATCACCATGTGGAACACAGGAAGGATTTCTGACAATCTATAGCACCATACATCACCATGTGGAACATAGGAATGATTTCTGAAAATCTATAGCACTATGTGGAACATAGAAGGGATTTCTGACAATCTATAGCACCATGTGGAACATATAAAGGATTTCTGACAATCTATAACACTACCGGTATGTGGAACCTAAGAGGGCCCTTGAAACCAAACTTAAATATGTAGTTCAATTGAGATAGGAGTGTAGATAAGTCAGACAGAAGTGATATTTTATCTGTTTTAACAGTTACAAGTTCATTAACATATTTCTATATCATCGTACCACAACTTACAGTCGAGTAACCTAATTTCGTGGAAACCTATTATTCGTGGATTTCCGGAAATGTTTAATAATTTACATGAGCGACCTTGCGCGACCTCCGCATTAGTTTGTTTTGATAAACATGGGTTTTCTCTATAATATCAGCTAGTAGAATGAATTCAGTAGTTTCAAGTAAGGTAAAGTGTAATAATGTATACTTTGACAAATACAAAATGGCGGATTTCACTTATTACCAAACGTCACCATTTTTTATCGGCCAAATTTCCTTATAATCCCAATCGGTAATCGGAATTCCAAGTGTCGACTGCTAGAATATATTCCAACAAATGAAGTCACGTGATCAACTAGCGGATTCCGTGTCAGCAGAAAATTTCTATGCAACACAAAGTGGACCATATTCTTATGTTGTTTCAGTGACTTTTAGCAATAAATCAAGCTACGTATCTTATTTTGTCAGTCACTATTTTTTTTTTAAGATCATGGTTCTTTGAAGGAATTGTCACTAGTTATAATGAATAGATATTAAAGATAAATACTAAGAGAAGTTAATTATACCACCCGGTATCCATACAACGGTTTTTCTAGACTTACCTATAGATCAAACATTGCACACGAAAATAGGTGACGCATTCTGCCGCCGTTGCCGAGTTGGTTGCTCATGAAATATGGGTCAAAGTGAAGGATTCATAAAGAAAATCGAAATAAACCAATTTTAATTATTTTGTAGAATATCTGACCTCCGCATTAGTTTGTTTTGATAAACATGGGTTTTCTCTACAATATCAGCTAGTAGAATGAATTCAGTAGTTTCAAGTAAGGTAAACTGTATTAATGTATACTTTGACAAATACAAAATGGCGGATTTTAGTTATTACCAAACGTTAAAGATAAATACTAAGAGAAGTTAATTATTCCACCCGGTATCCATACAACGTGTTTTTCTAGACTTATTTATAGATCAAACATTGTACACGAAAATAGGTGACGCATTCTGCCGCCGTTGCCGAGTTGGTTGCTCATGAAATATGGGTCAAAGTGAAGGATTCATAAAGAAAATCGAAATAAACCAATTTTAATTATTTTGTAGAATATCTGAGGAAACATCTAAGACATAAAATTTTTTTTTCGTTTTTATAACTTTGACGAAATTCGGTGTTGAATCCTTATATCCACGAAAATAGGTTACACCACTGTATTGATAACAGCAAATTACAACAAATGACCACGCCCCCTTTTATACTTTCAGCATTTATAGCTTCAAAAATAAATAATGTCATAGAAAAACATGTATCGAAGAATAAAAAGGAAGTATAAGTAACAAGTTTTTTACCATTGCATCGGATCCATCTTTTTCAAGAGATGTTGGAAAGCGAATATCTTTTACTTCACATGCGACGACGCGAATCGGTGCAGCCATTTTTGTTGATAAATTACCTCCCCTGGCACACTAAAGGGGGACAACTTTTTTCAGATCCAGAACACAAGCAAATATAGTAGATAACTCGACCGCAGGAACAGTTCGCCCACCGTTATGTTAATTGTTATCTTAAACTAAATTAAACAACATATGTTGAAAATTCTTAAACATATAAACATAATAAGTTATCTATGATCACGTGATATAAAGGTATCATTCACACATGATCAATTATAATACTAACATCATCATAAAGCTATATTTGTCTGCTAAATTACATTACATTTAAACATTTATGGATTGTCATGACTATAAAGGTATGTGTTTTTAACTAAAGTCGTTCTTCTTTATCAGTCAAAAACATGTCTAAACATTTTATTATAAAAATTATTTCTGGACATATCTTGAACTGTTTGTACTTTGTACCATCCCCAGTTAACCCTATTAAAATAACAGAAAGAAAATGATGGAAAAGGTCCTGTAGCTGATGAAGAAAACTTGATATCTCGAACTTTATATTAATTAAATTGTGTTCAAGGAAGTAGGTCCTACTTTATTTTCCAGCATTTACGACTCAAAGATTCTGATCCCAGACCACATGATGACAGACCTCTACCATTATGGAGTAAGCTATGTTTTGCTGTTGGTGGTGCACCCTATCAGATTACTACCAACGTCATTGGATTCTTCCTTAATATTTTCTTATTGGAGGTAGCAGAGGTAAAGAATATTTGGCATTAAGAATCTCAAAACATATTCTTGCACGTGTCTTGAGCTATGTTACATTGTAAATTGACCTACCTTTGCCTTGCGGATACAGTAATTTGAAAAATAGGCCTTACGACCACCGTAGATTCAGTTCATTGTGCACAACACAAATGAAAAGTAATGTACACATCTTGGAACCATGCTTTTGTAGTTTCAAATGTATAGGTCCTAGAAGACGAACCCTCCTATTCTAACTGCCATGTCCTATACGTCATATATCTTGGTCCTAGAAGACAACCCTCCTATTTTTAACTAGAACTTTTTAGGGGACGAGAATTGATTTTCAGTAACACGTTGTGTCCAGTCTGTACATCCCTATATTGTCTATCATTTCATTTTTTATACAGATCGACCCCTTCTACATATCTATCATATTGTTTGTGGGTAAAGCATGGGATGCCATCACAGATCCAGCATGTGGTTACTTTGTAAATAAAACTGAAACCAGATTTGGTAAAATGAAACCGTGGTATGTATGCTATATGTATATTAGATTGTGTAAGCCGTCCACTTAGCAACAACTTTTATTTATTCTTTTTTGGTTTCTGGACTTCACAAATGCCACTTTGACTAAAATATAATTAAAGATGGGTTCCCTTTTTTTCATTTATGAAAAATAAAATGCTAATATTTATATGAATAGAAAGTAGATGTGTTTTAATGACTTGGAAAAATACAAGTTTGTCTCACATGTCCATAGTTAATTCATAGTTAGCTAAATTAGTAGAGAATTACCAGCAGAATTCCAATGAGTGACCACTCAAGACAGGTCAAAAAGTCTTTTTTTGTTTGTTTATCAAGACTGTAAATACATTTATGATTATGACTCTTAATTATATGCAATACGAACATAATGATATTACATGATAATTCATTAGAAACACCAATTAGTCAAATAATTTGCTTAATTTGACACTAAAAAATAAAGAAACCCATCTTTAACCACCCTGTTGTAAACAAACAATAATTTTATGCAGTACAATACAAAAATAAAATTCCATGACGTATGTTCAGTTTACTTACCTGACCTCAATCTCAAGTAATTATATCCGAGAAAAGTTTCGGCAACATCAGCTATTGATAACTGGTCACCAGGGCACACTTTAATTCTATTTAACTAATCCCGCAGGATAATCTTAACAGCACCTTTTGCCTGTGTATCCTATTTTTTCTTATGGTATGTTCCTGACCTATCAGAGACAGGGAAGTTTGGATATTATTTCGCTATGTATTGCATATTCCAAGGTCTACTATCAGTAAGTATAATATATTATTGGTGTTCATTTTGAGATCAAAATATGTTTATAAAGTATAGAAGTGTATTCCTTTTCACAACTATTTAAGATTCCATATCACGTCGACAAGTTTTACAATTTCAAATACATATGTACACTAAACGAAATGGGAAGAGCCGTCTATTGATAGGCAATCTAATTAAAATAAGATCGTTTCTTCTTTGTTTACAGGGTCTCCATGTACCATACACATCATTAACCATGTACATATCAAACGATCAAAAAGAACGAGATTCTGCCACTTCTTTTAGTAAGTATTCTTGTTTCTGTGTTTCTATGAGGGACCCGGTTTGCTCCCCTTCCAGTCTGAAATTTCTTATCATTGAGGTTTTAAATGCCTGTAATATAGTGGGTGCTGTGAGCTCCTTCGACTATTCAGTAACCTAGGTTATTACCTAATTATTAATAGAAACGCCACTGTTATCATGCCAAGACACAAAACACAAACAGTGTGTGACGATAGTCTTCTGTAGAAAACAAAGTATGCATTACTCTTGGATCAAACTGGCGCGCAAATGTTGCTAATGCAGATAAAGATAAAAACAAAATTAACATTTCTGAAAAACAAGAACTATTGAGTTGTTTTATTTCTGGAAGATCGTTTGTATATCCAGTTTTGAATTTATCTTGTGCTGTAAAATAGGTATAATTTCTAATCAATTATTTCATCACTAACTCATTCATTGATTCAAAAGGTTCGAGAAAAGCATGAAGAGTTTTCAGTAATGCATCTTTTTATCTTCATATATTCTACAGACTACAGACTAAGAGTGGGTTAACTTAACTGGGGATTTGTGATGATTACAAAATGGCGAATATCGACTGACTTAAATATTCTGCACTTTCTTGCACAACTGGAAGATTCTGGCTGAAATGTGCATCACGTGCTGGTGAAACAGAATGTGATTATACCAAGAACATATGCCTCCGAATTGCTGTTAAGCTTGTGTTCAAAGTATATATATATTTATAACAGGGATGGTATTTGAAGCATGTGGTGTATTAACAGGCGTGATTGTTCAGGGTAAAATTATAGAAAAATATAGAATAGCTGGGCAATGTGCAGATACATCGGCTACAGCTTCCCCAGAATCTCTACGCTTACAGGTATCTTTACACGCCTAGATTAGTAATCATATCAATATTTCTTCCCAAATTAAATTACAAATGTAAAAGAATAAATTATTTTACACTGTTAAATGGTTAATCCTACCAAACAACCCAAACTGCATGTATTGATGTACACTGTATCATAGTCAATGCCAGCAATGATAGAAAAAAACAAAAAATTGACCCTCTTTGGGTGACATCAAGTACAAAATTGTCATACTAAGGTACTGAAAATAAAAAATTCGGGCTCCAAAATGCATAAGCTAATATGGACAGTCCCAATCTGCCTTGAATACTATTGATTTCAGGAAGAGTCCTACCGCATTGGTTCATACATTGTATTAGCTATCTATATGGTTTGTGCATGTACAGTTTTTCTTGGTGTGAAAGAAAAAGAAGGTAATGTATTAACCTCATAACTTTACCTCCTTCTAATTTTTAAGTCATGGTATGAGCACTGATCTTATTCTTGTGGGAACGTGCGATTACCTAGCCATAAAATATAGGCTGGCTTTTGTCTTGTACGATAATAATGGTCAGTCCACATATTGTCAGCTCCCATCACTTCAACCTGGTTAATTGTTAAAAAGCCATGACTACTTTGCCATTAAAGAGGTTTTTCACCTTCTTTTAGAGCCGTAACTTCAACAAGGCACTTGCCAAAAAGGAAATACTGTTTAAAAACATATATTATCCGCTAAATATATTGTTTATTTGATGTCTACAGTACAGACGGTTAATGTTACAAGTTTACCGAAATTTACGATGAAAGACTTATCTTATTTCAAATATACGAGATCATGGGAAAAAACCCAAGTAACGGCCCTGTCATTTATGTGTGTATCTGGGCCATGTACATGGCTTCTATTTACGTTTTCCAATTTTCCGTCTGATGTTTGTAGTTAACTGTAATTGTATAAATTCTTACCTGTATATGACGTCATTATCACAACAGATGCTAATAGCATAAAAAAAAGTTCCGATAAAAATTAGTTTTAGTGAAACATCCACAGACTGCTGACTAAACAATGGATTGGTGTAAATTGATTTCATTAATGTCCCCGATACACATGAAAAGTTAAGAAAATCTCTTTACAAACCCTTTAAGCAGTGTTAGTGGGTTTTTTACACCGAGTCATATTTTACAGGTGTGGTGGACTCAACGGGAAATACTGATGGATATTTCAAAAGTTTAAAAATTGTATTTACGTATAAACCGTATTTACAAGCAGCTGCAATATTCTTGTTTATGTCATTAGCAGTAGCCGTAAGTGTTTCCATTTGAATTTATAAATGTGAAAGAAAACCTATCTATGAGATAAATTTTTGAAAAAAGTAATGTTGTTAACAACAGTTTTGCACAGTAACTGTTAAGAAATCATTTATCTTGAAAGTTTTGAGAGACGTACGTTCCCCAGACCTTCAAGGTGACCGAAATATTTCAGCTCAAAGTCAAAGGACAATTCACTATATTTAAGGACATTACCTCCCTTGAGCTAGTAGGATTGCATATTTCTCGCGATTCCACAAAAAATAATATCTGTGCGCAAAACAAAAAGTCAAAAGCCTAAAGGGGATGAACAGAGCTTCATTTAATATGTATTATGGACATTTATGGCTTCTATTTGCATTATTCCTTCAGATATCTGCACTCCGTGGTTTTTGTTCTTGTAGAAATGCTTCTCTATGCGTGATTGTCGCAAAAGCTGCTAATTATGGTTACGTCTACTCTACGTTTTAGTTGAATTCCAAGACCCACAAAACTGAATATTTAAAGCGCAAATCAACTACGCCATCTGTGTCCTCATTACATAGTACAGTTTAGAATACCTCTTTACAATCCCATTAAAGCTAATAGACTTGAAAATCAATCATAGCCATTTATATAAGCAGTTATTTCGACTTATTTTGACCTATGATAATTGGTCAACGGGATGAAAAGATTCCGTGTCGTCTGACATTGACATATTATTATGTCGAACATCACTTTTCAGTATTATTTAAACAAGATGACACTTATCATGCTTAGGGAATTGATTCCATGGTTTTCCTGATTCATTAACATGGCTGTTATGATCAATTAGGTTTTTAGGGACCAGAAAACATTGACCCTCTTATCTTGGGAGCTTTATTATTAGGATGCTTTCATGGCTTCTGCTGGCAAACAGTGTCCAGATGACCCCATTTTGGCTAATCAGTTCATTCCCCTTAAATGCAAATAACCAAATTGGGTTGTGAACTTTAGACTGACTCAAATTCTGTATATGTCGGTTAATATTGGCAGAAATGGAAGACACAAGAGTCAGTTTAATATCATTATAATTCCCAATACAAAATATTAGTAGTAGTTTATTCCCGAAAGGAAATTAATTTTGGACTCCTTAATTGTATGAGAAATTCTGTTATTTTACTTTTTTTAATTTAAGATAGTACAAGGCAACATAGCTTTATATTGTACACATTCATTAAAAATGGGAAATAAGTTCACAAATTTCGTCATCGTTTTACTTGTAAGTATGAAACATATATTTTTGTGGCTGCAGGTCATTACATATGAATATGCCTATGCATTGAGAGAAGGTCCCCCGAATATCCACTTCTCCATGTGTACAATATTCTGATATCGGAATAATTTACGTCAATATTTCAGTACACTATAGAACTTGTCTTGCCAATGGAGACATCTTCTATTTTAGGATGCTTTCAATTGACGTCAGCAGCTAGTATTGATGGATCGTTATTGGATGCCAGATGCTCGTTCCGACGATCAGATGTGTTCATTTTCTGAAGGACATTATCTTAACAGATATTTTTTCTCTTGTTCGTTGTCTGTAACCGAGCCACACACTGAAAAAAGGGAAAAATTATTTTATACCCATGTATTTCAGGTTGTTTCTATCACAGCCATGCCTTTATGGCAATTACTCTTACTAAGATTTGGTAAAAAGCCTGTGTATGCCGCAGGAATACTTGTAAGTACTGAAGTAGTTCTGAGATAAGTTTCTTGGGGATCAGTTATGGGCAGGACTGCTGTCAAAAATATCGTAAAACACCCGAACCCTACATGGTTTATCTTCTAGCATAATACGCCAATAAAAAATAGACACAAACAATGTATAAGATTGCAATGTACAACCAATATACTTTTGAATTATCGGTAAACATCGTGTAAATTCTGAGAGCATAATTCCACTGTGGTCTTCAATACTCATTCCTAAATCGATAGACGGTTTTAATCACTTTCGAATATTAATTCTATTACAAATAGGACAGTTTATGTACACATCATCTATTTTCAGATATTCATTCCGATATTAATAGCACAGTTGTATTTACCTGCTGATAATGAGTATTTATATTATGTTATTATGGGTTTCGCTGGTCTCAGTATATCTGTCTCATTATTATTACCATGGTAATATGAAAAACGATCTAAGGAAACGATTGGTTATACAATTAACAGAGCATGTACATGTAGCATCAATCTGACCACAGAAAACTAACAACCTTTGTGTCAAATAACACAGTTCTCTGTAGCTCTATCCTAAATATGTAAATAGCATAGACGAAACTAAGAACTAAAATTTATATTCTATTAACGGAAAGTGAATCGACATTTTCCTGAAGCGTCCACTGAATGCATTTGGTTGAAAGGAACTGTATAATCATAATTTGCCCCCAAGAAGTATTAAAAAGGTTGGCAGTTTTTTGTGATTGGAAAAAGTTACATGCATAGTGTTCGATTTTTTACAGTCATATCAAAACGTGAAGACACTCGTAGAAATAAGAAATTTCTACACTGTTGAGTTGACTTACACAGAAATCACAAAATATGTGATGTTATGTATTTACTGTTTTGTATATTGCTCTCATGTCGTTATCAGTTCGTATGAAAGCTATAAAGCAAAACGACATTGATTCAATCAAGCTAAATCATATTTAAATCTTAGTCCTTGAAGTTTTCCTCTCAACTTTCAGGTAAATTAGTGGTGCCGTAGGACTTTGTCAAAATTAACATAACTGTGCAATACCAACTAAAGTTTTACAGCGTAAAAGGTCAATGCGAAATTGTATATATTGTAATATTCTGTGATCTATATTTTAGGTCTGTGTTACCAGATGTCTTAGATTTATTTATGTTAGAGACACACACTAGAAAAGACGCCATGTTTTATTCGTTTTATGTATTTTTCAATAAATTAGCTAGCGGAATAGGTCTAGCATTGTCTCAAGTTGCCTTGTCGTAAGTTCAATATTTAGTTTTGATTTGTTCTTTCCATCTTATTCTGTTTTTAAATTATGTTGCCTTTTGAAAGGAATCGTTGCACTTGGTTCTTTCTACTAAGTTACATCATGTGAACCCCGTTCGCACAGTTTCGGGTGTTTGATATTGTCGCTGCTAGCAAAAAACGTGTTCAGCTGCTATTTATAATAGGATAGGTGAGAAGGAAATATGAAGCACGGGTGGATCATGTCAGACTTTATGTTCAGTCATCCAACTTTATATTACAGTGTTGGTGGATATGTTACTGGTGCTTGTACTCAACCGGAATCAGTAGATTTAACACTGAGAATGCTTGTGGTACCTGGTCCAGTCGTATGTCTTCTCCTTGCTCTAATATTCCTCTGGTGCTATCCTATTAACGAAGATAAGAGAAAGGCCATCAAACAAGAGGTATTAGACACTATGTAAGTTAAAACAGAACCATCAACTGACGAACCGGCATGTTTAACATCATGTCTTATCCAACATCAGCACAGCCAACTATAATACTTCATTAAAGCATCAGTAAAAAGCTTGGATCACCATCATCGTCTTCGTCATTGTCAGCACCAGCATCCACATAATTCCAGGTTAAACACTCCCACCAACACATTCACTACCATTCTAAGTTAATGAAAGTATCATCGTAAAAGATTGAGATCAGTAAATTACCCAGTTTTTCAGTTGCGACTTAATTATCATTACAGACGCTAAAGCATTTTTCATATGAACTAACACATAACCATTACTATTTAGCTGAAGCATTTTCACCAACTTAAACGTTCTCATTATCTTTTCCAGATCGAAAAACGAGAAGGCGGCTACTCGAGACTTCACGACGAGCATGAGTTATGAAAGCATCCATTCGACCAATGAACAATCAGAGTTTTAAGAAATATTGGCGATACAAAGCGAAATGACCAAGATCAAGATCATGCTACATCACTCGTCCTGTGATGTCAGTTTCCTGGCCTGACCTGATTGATATAGGACAGCTCACATATCACAGAACAAATTATTAATGAGTTAGAAAATTATTGGAAACAAGTTATCGTTTATACTCGAATTCAGATTAAGAGAAAGAATTTAAGTCTAAACCTTCGGCAATGCGAACTATTCATTCGTTATATCTTTTATAAATTGTTATGTAAAATAAACTTATGAAACATAAAATACATGTATTTAAAATCTGTTTGTATTTCATATTATTTTTAACTGATCTATAAATATTGAAATTGCAACCGAGTGATGTCCAGTTTGAACGGCATATTCAGTCGACTATATTCCATGTATTTCTAAAATGACAAATTTTCTTGGTGCCCATGATTAGACGAATGGTTTGCTACCCAGGATTGAATGGAAAGTGACGATGGTTGAATGGATTCTGCCTATGATCGGATGTATGGTGGGCTTCAGTAATAGACGCATGTATGGTGCGCAGGTATGAATGTGAGGTTCTCTGAATTCGATTATGGATGTGTTTCAATTAAAGGGACTAATGAGTTGATAGATGATGCCCAATATTGGGCAGGTGGTGCCCATAATTCGATGGCTGGGGCCTATTATTGAATGGATGACGCCCGTGATTAAATAGATGTACCCAATGTAAACAAGATTCTCAGTTTGATATATTTTATTTATTTCTTGAGTGTCCTTTACTAGTGTTTCAGGAAATTAAATTTCTATCAAATCGTAGCTAATGTTTTTGTCTCCAAAATAAATCCCACATGGAAAGAAATAATGTGATCTGATGAAATAACACGACATTTTCGTGTGGAAAGAATATTAAACTAATTAGTGGTAATTAATGACAATTAATTACTTAATGTCTCAAATTGACGAGACACATCTTTTTTCCGCATGACTTTGTCCATAATTTAAATGTAAAACGACTTAATCTGATTTTAGAACGTAAGGTCAAATCGATGTGAATGTTCTCGAAAGTCATTGATAATGATCGCTAAGTCTTTTTCTATAGAGCTCTGGTTTCCACCCTTAATACTACTAATCTTACCTGGGGAAATGTGAAATGCAATAGTAATTAATATACTCCTTGCATTGACTTTTATTGACTCAAATAAGAAATTTGTTTCGTTTTAAGTTCAACATTATCGTTTTTATTTGAGTTTCATACTCAAAAACATTGTAACATCTAACTTATAAATTTATGGAGATCATTATAACCAGGTTTCGGTACAATCTATAGTCAACCATGTTATTAGACGTTTTAAAGTCACTGTATATACTATTCACACGTCCTATTCGTAAACGCTTTTATCCTTTATTAATATGATGCTGATATGGGCTTTTTCAGTTATGTTGGATGATGCTTTAAATTCAGTTTACGCAATCCATTATTTTCTTAACGATAGTAGTAATTGTAATGAGCGCGTGAGACCTCAATTGTTGATCTGCACTAAAATACCCTTATAAGGATCTCATGAGTACTATTATCTTGCTTCAATTATTTTTCTATTTTTTCAATAAATATATTTCATCCCCTACGCATATCACTGTCAATTGTAGAAAACAATCGAAAGGAACTACTGTTATAGATAGGGATTGATCTCAATGTCAAACTATGAGCAGTCATTGACTTTCACGGTTTATTATGGTGAATACAGAGCTTTAAATAGAGTACAAACCTGGAATGGACACAGACCTGTAGGCTTATTGATTGAATTCTAGAGTTAATAGGTCTTATTGTATTAACTTTAATAGACTAAATTTACAATACTTCTCCTTACTATCACCTGAATTTTCAGAACACTTTTCCGACCAGACAAATTTAGTAAAATATTGAGTTGATGTTCTTTCTAGATTAGCTAAGAGACATGTGTATAGCCATATCGACTTGCTATTGCTACTCTATTGTATTTTAACGGACTCGCAAGATGATGGCTATGGACATTAACGTGGAATAATCAATGTCTTCTACATTCCAACAGCAGGGAAGACGTTTTGAAGGTGAGAATTTTTATGTATTCTTTAGTGGTTTCGATGACCATTGTTAGATATCCATGGCTTCCACATTGGGTTGCTGAATCACTACAATTTTGCATAGAGTTAATTGTAGTTAAATTAATGAATACATAATTCTTATGGTCAGAGGTAATTGTTCTATAGTCTGTTCACAAAGCTGTTTCAAATCATATTATAATGTAAACCATGTATGCATCTACAGCCAGACATGAAAAGAACCCAATAACCATCATTCAAGGTGACAGGTGTTTCTACTATGTGAACTGAATGATATTTGTAAATACGTAAAACTGCAATGTTAAGTACATGTAATCATAAATAAATTGAATAAAATGTTGTGTATGAAAATTCAATCAGTAATAGAACACTTCAGATTTCTCTGACACTGGACTCATTCAAGTTAAAGAAAAGCTATATTTTATGTGAAAGATACTAAAATTACCATCAGGGCCGCGTGCATCTTCCCAGGGTCAAGCTATAACGAACTTTGCCTTATTCCTTGACTGCAATAGTCACGGAAGTTTGAAAATGCGGCGATGTGGTTGGATTGTGCGTTTAACTAACTAACAGTTAGTTTACAGTCTGTCTGTGGAGTGCTAGGCCTATGATTGACAGTATTCGCTGGGGTACAATTCAATGAAATCGCCGCATTCCGTGATACAAGAAATATAGCTATCTAATCGATATATACGACTTCGTCATAATTTCATTATAGCTTAGCATTCTGAAAATGTGCAGCATGGATTTTGGAAACAACTGAATCTGGCTTGAAGACTAAGGGTCGTATGCAGCGCTTGTACTTAACCTAAAATTTGACTGTTAGACTTAAGTAGAACTTTAGGTATGCGCCGCTCGATCTTCACGAAAGCCATGCTTACCTTTGACTTTCAAATGTATAAAATGAAAGCCGTGGCAAAGTTTCCTCAGTAGGTGACTTAAACTAAACTTTACTGGTTGTATACAAGAACTGGAGAATTATTTAGACCAATTGCACCGTTTAATAGACCTTCACCAACATGCAGTTACTCACAGAATTGTTAAAGATCGCTATAATCCATTGGAAGATTTAGATGATACCAAATTTTGGAAAGGTATAGATTTTCAAAGGCAGGTGTAGTGGAAATAATGGATATGGTTAAATGTTCACCAACGCTCCGATCAAACTATTCATATTCCACCCGTTGCAACTTTTGATAACTCTACACTGGTATGCTTCTGGGTCATTCCAGTTAAATTTAGGAGAAATAATGGACATCCACCAATCTACTGTTAGCAGAACTGTGAAAAATATATCAATGGCAATAGCTAGCCACAGGTCTGATTTTATAGCATTTCCTACTGAGAATGAAATAACCGAAATTCAACGTTGTTTCTACGATTTGGCTAACTTTCCGGGAGTTATTGGAACCATAGATTGTACCCACACCCCAATCCAATGTCCAAAAGGGGAACAGGCTGAACTTTTCAGAACCCGCAACTTAACAATTCGTGATATCGTATAGCAAGATGGCCTTTTAACACCATTTTCGAATCCTAATAGTAATTCTGAACGGAAATATAACATTCCTCATGCGACCACAAGAAATACTATGGAAAGACTGTTTGGTGTATTAAAGAGAAGATTTCCATGTCTTTCTAGGACAATCCGAACTAATCTGGATACAACAATGGCCCTGATTGTTGCCACTGCGATTCTTCATAATTTAGCGAGGCGAATGAAGATGGCCGAGATAACTGAGGAGGTACCTCATCATGATCAACCAGGCTCGACTGAATGTCCAGGTATCATCAAACAAGGAAATCGAGTGAGAAGAAATATAACTGACAGTTATTTATTACATTATTGATAAATTGGTGAAGTCTCGATTATTTTCATTTTCGTTTTCTTGCACCTTTTGGATCTGTAGATCAACAAGTTTAGGCTGTTTGTTCAGAATGTTCATTTAAGCATTAAGTTCTTCGCGAGCGGCAGTAAGTGTTTTAAGTTGCTCTCTCTTTAGAGCATGTTCCTCCATGGCCAAATCAGTCTTTGCAGAAACAAAAGTTGGTAATACTGGGATTCCGTGATTCCGAGGGTTGGTGCTCTGTCTCGGTTCTTCTTGGTCTGTCGTTCCATACCATTGGCTTGATTAATATCTGAAAATATAAATGTATGGAACATATGCTTGTAATTGGTCTTTCAGAACGCTATAATAGCCCTTGTATATGTACTATATTGATTCAAAAGATCTATACAAATTCCTGGCGTGGAATTTCCATTTTGTAGAAAATTTAAGCATCGCTTTAATAATTTCATCTTATCAACAGGACTTAAGATTTAATACTGATGTGCGGATATGACAATTAAAAAATTTACCTGATATAGAGTGAACCGTACTATCACCATCCTGTACATCATTGTGAAATTCAGCGTCATCAAATAATTATATTGGCCAGTGGGTGCATTTGTTCCGGTATCATAGAGCATATTTTTGGACTGACATCGTCCGATTTCGTGACATTCATGTGGGTTAGAAAAGTTCGTAAACTGAAAAACTCTAGTGATTTATATATCAAAAAAGTGTGGATGGTTGGATGCAAATCGAAAAACCTCCCGGAAAGCTCGCGGAAAACTCCTGAAAAAGTACCAGCAATCCACCATACTTTTGATACATAACCAATACTTTATTAAGTTCGGCTCTAGTAAGAGCTGTGTATACCAATGAAAGTTAAAACTAAGTCCGACTTTATCCTAACTTTGTAAAGCGCTCTTGCATACGGCCCTAAGAGGGCCACACAAACTAATTTGCAAAGTTCAAGGGAGGTAATAAAATTTTGAAGACAACAAAAGAAAAACGTTATCACTAGTCGTTTCTCACGTGTTTTCAGTAATTACAACGCAGTCTCTTTTCGAAGGAAAAACAAGATAGGAAGCTATTTTCTCCGGTAACTTTGTAAATTTTGAAATAAATACTTGTATGTTGAAATCAATAATGTGATGGTGATAATAATAGCAACATGCAGCAGTTTTTATTTTGCCTTCATCAATGTTCTATATACCGATTTCCATTTAATTTATCGTGTGTTTATCGTTTCAACAACCACATGCTGAAACTAGTTGTAGTCCATTGTTTTTATCATTTTGAAAAGAAACATATAACCATAAATCTACTGGAAGTATTTTCATTATGATGAAAACCATCAACTGTCCAGAATTGAAGCTCTTCATTGAAAGTTAATAATATCTTTAATGTAGTGACACATATTCAACGAAGTAGGTTTATGAACCCACTGATATATAATTAATCTAGAAACATCACGGTAGCGTAAAAGTGTACATGACAACATAAATTACACGGTAACGTGGACGTGTACACAATATCAACTATACGGTAACATGTACACGACAACATAAACTAGACGGTAACGAAAACATGTACACAACAACAGAAACTACACGGTAACTTGAACGTGTACACGACAATATAAACTATATGGTAGCGTAAACATGTATACGACAACATAAACTACACGGTAACTTGAACGTGTACACGACAATATAAACTATATGGTAGCGTAAACATGTATACGACAACAGAAACTACACGGTAACTTGAACGTGTACACGACAATATAAACTATATGGTAGCGTAAACATGTATACGACAACATAAACTACACGGTTACTTGTACGTGTATACGGCAACATAAACTACATGTACATGGTAACTTGAACGTGTAGGCCTACACGATAACATAAAATATATGGTAACGTAAACGTGTACACGACAACAAGTACATGGTAATGTGGACATGTACTAGACACAATCGTGATTCCATCAACTACACGGTATGGGGAGTATGAACGAACATAAGTGATAAAATACACGGTTTCGTCAATAAATATACGACTTCGTCAAGTCGCACATGTAACGTATACGTCAAAGATCAATGCCCATAACACTTAAAAATTACTTACGTAAATTATTTTCAAAAATATGAATGTTTAGAGTTTTTTATGATGTATTTATCTTATAAAGTATTATCACTTTACAATAACTGAAGAATTGAACATTGAATAGATTTGACAACGTGTGGACTGGAATCAAAAATTATTTACGTCACCATCTTAGATGTCACATCCAGGAATCTCGGTTTTATCTCTTTGTTTATGATTCCTCATTGCGTGTTACTGTGGGGATAATATTACTGTGTTTGCCAGTCGTGGAACATTTGATGATTATGTATTAGATAAGAAGTAGGAATAGTAGAAGATTATATACATCGATCGTGAACATTAGTCGATACGCTCTAGATTGACTGATTGTTGATTTTTAATCCTGCTTTCTTGTCATTAGCGTTAATAAGTAAATGATATGGCACCGTATCAGGTAGGATAATGGTTTTTCAATACTGGATTATTTTTATCTAATTTATTTATTTTTCACTAGTGTTTATTATCCTAAATCATTAATATAATTCATCAATACACAGAGTTTACAAAGTTTCCAAATTCAAAGTGCTTAGTTATCTCTTGTTGATCTTGTCTTCAGAAGCCAAATGAGGCGTAGAAGTTCTTAAAGTTGGCATATTGTTCAATCCTTTTCCGCGTTGCAAATCTTCCGATTTTGTGGGGTTTTTTCGCAATATATCTCAGCTAGAATTTTTGAATCGAGCTTTTATATATTTTAGAAATAGGCTTTTTTTCAAAATGAACTTTTATATATTTTAGAAATAGGCTTTTTTTCAAAATGAACTTTTATATATTTTAGAAATAGGCTGTTTTTCAAAATGAACTTTTATATATTTTAGAAATAGGCTTTTTTTCAAAATGAACTTTTATATATTTTAGAAATAGGCTGTTTTTCAAAATGAACTTTTATATATTTTAGAAATAGGCTTTTTTTCAAAATGAACTTTTATATATTTTAGAAATAGGCTGTTTTTCAAAATGAACTTTTATATATTTTAGAAATAGGCTGTTTTTCAAAATGAACTTTTATATATTTTAGAAATAGGCTGTTTTTCAAAATGAACTTTTATATATTTTAGAAATAGGCTTTTTTTCAAAATGAACTTTTATATATTTTAGAAATAGGCTTTTTTTCAAAATGAACTTTTATATATTTTAGAAATAGGCTTTTTTTCAAAATGAACTTTTATATATTTCAGAAATAGGCTTTTTTTCAAAATGAACTTTTATATTTCGGACTCGTTTGTTTTTAGTTGATAATTATTATTTTAACTTTTACAATGTACAAAGGTAAGGTAAACTGAGTTTTTATTTCATTTTGTGGTTGGCAGATTTTGTTCAGCTAGTAAAATGCCTCCTAATGTAAAGATCTGATGTTCGCTCGGGGAAAAATTTAATTAAATTGAAATCTTTTTCAAATTCAAGTCGGTTGAATCGATGTTCTCTTTCTTGCTATATAAAATTAAATTTAAATAGAGTCGGTTTCAGTTTAAATACACTTACTTTTAAAACTGAAAACTTTAAGAGGTAACTCAAATTCAGATCTATCAGATATGGAAATAAAATCATACATAAGGAAAAAAAATATAATAGAAATGGCTGAAATGGTTATTATCTGGAAAGCTGTAGAATAACCTAATATGGGAACGAAACTTAACCGCAAAATCATGAAATAAGTCTTAACATTTCTTTTAGGAACATTGTCTACATGCGTCATATAGTATAATATAATTTTATATACATGTTTTTATTAGGATATTGTCTCGTCAAAGTTAACTATAACTAATCACTTCTAAACGTCAATTTATATACTTTTTTACATTTTACATTTTGACATTTGTCTGAATCTGTACCGTATTATTCAACCTAAGACTGTCAGACAAAACACAGTCTTTTATAATTGCTCTTTTAAACCATCAATTATAGTAGTAGACTATATTTTCTGAAATTCTAATTCGGTTGAATAATGTTGTGTTTATTCATGATCAATTACAGACCGAAACATCTGCCTCTATTCCACCCTCTGGTAGCTATATGGACAGTTATCGGCTGGTGTAGAGACTGATTTTTTGCACCTTAGAGGGTTTTAAATTTATTTATTTTAATCGGATCCTCCATACCGGGCCTGGATATGTTCGCAAAGATGAATATTTCAGCCATGCCATCATCAACACCTTCATGTCTCGTCTGTGGTTCTATCAAAGTTTCTTTTTAACGAATCTAATATCCAGTCGGCCATTTAAGACTACGTGAGAAACCAAAACTTCAAGAGTAACAGGGCCAAATGATACTAACAAAACGGAAGTAACCGCTTCTTCCGTTTTGTTAGTGTCATTTGGTCTTGTTACAGTGATGCCAAACACTAATTTACAGTCATTGTTAAAAAAAATCGCACCTTCCAAGGTGTGGAAAATCTCCTTAAAACAGGGCCTAGTTTTTCTCACTCTGCTCGAGCTGAAAACTGTCAAAATAGATATCAAAGACTGGTTTAGAGGCAGATGTTTTGAACTAGATCAATTAAAA